GTTACTAGTTATACACCAAATATAGCCCGCAGCTGGTCACAAAAGAGAATGGGACGTCTCAATTTGGTTTAGAAAGCTACACATTTTACATGTTTACTATCTGTAACACCATGGTTAGCCAGGATAGCTCAATGGAACCTCCTTGTTCAAGATGGGTTAGGGTTGCCAGGTCTGGGTTGGAAAATACCTGGAGACTTTGGGGCAGATCCAGGAGAGGGCGTGGTTTGGGGAGGGCAGGTGCCTCAGCATGGTACAATGCCATAGAGTCCACCCTTCAAAGCAGCCATTTTCTCCAGAGGAGCTGGTCTCTGTCAGCTGGAGACCACTTGTAAAAGCAGATCTCCAGGCCCCACCTGGAGGCTGGCAACTCTAAGATGGGTAGCCGCAGGGGTCATTTCGTAGAAAAAGAGCTAGGGGAACTCATTAGCATAACTCATTAGCATATGCCACACCCCCTGACATCAGGGGCCCGGCGGTGGACCTGCAAGGCCAGCGGGAGTGCGAGGAAGCCCCGCCCCCCTGCACCTCACCCGGGGGAACTGCGATCCCCCCGAAATGACCTCTGGGTAGCCGTTTTAGTCTGTCTGTAGCAGAAGGAAAGAGCAAGAGTCCTGTAGCACCTTAAAGACCTAATAAAATTTGTGGCAGAGGATGAGCTTTTATGAATCACAGCTGACTATTCACAAAAGCTCATCTCCTGCCACAAATGTTGTTAGTTTTTAAGGTGCTACCTTTAGCCTTTGGTTACTGTCCACGGGGTTTTCTTGGCAAAGATACTGGAGTGGGTTGCCGCTCAATGAGAAGGGAGCACTCACTGGAGAAGACCCTGATGCTGGGAAAGGTTGAAGGTTCAAAGAAGAAGGGGATGGCAAAGGATGAGATGGTTAGACAGTGTTATCGATGCAATGAACATGAAATTAAACTTCAGAGCTCGACAGAAGACAGGAGGGCCTGGCGTGATGTGGTCCATGGGGCCGCGAAGAGTCGGACTCGACTGTGTGACTGAACAACAACAAACAAGGTGCTACTGGCAGTGTTCCCTCTAAACTGAGTTAGTGTGAGCTAGCTCAGAGTTTTTTAGCTTCCAGCTCACACGTTTTTGTCTCAGCTCAGGAAGGATGGCTCCAGGGCAAACTAATTTATGCAGTAGTCAAATCGCTCACTCACAACTTTAATGCCAGTAGCTCACAAAGTAGAATTTTTGCTCCACAACTTGGAGCGGCTACTGGACTCATGTTCTTTTCTGCTGCTCCAGATCTTGGAGACAAGAGCAGGGAAGAATTATGAGGTTGACTTGTGTGCTTCCTGGATACATCCAATTAGCCACTCTGAGAATCTGAACAGGATCAGGTTTTTTTTTTAAAAGGGTGAGATGTATAAATCTGTGGAGGGGGCATTCAGAACTTTAGGGGCAAATGGACATTTAAGATTGTAGGCAGTGCCTTCTCCCCACTTGCCAGGGCTTCTGATAATGAGTGGAGGAGAGTAGTTTTATACTTCCCATCCCACCCTGAGAATAAAATCCCAGACCCTAGGTTTCTCCCCAAGGCCCTTAAAAAAGATCATTCAGGTCTTAGAAGCTAAGCAGGGCCGACCCTGGCAAGAATTTGGAAGGGAGACCCCCCCCCAAGGAATACCAGGGCCGGGACCCAGAGGCAGGCAATAGTAAGTAACCTCTTTGAAATGTCCAATCCCCACTAGGGGTCGCCAGAAGTCAACCATGACTTCCAGGTGTGTGCACACAAATACCAATTTATTTATTTTTAAATGGCGATCATAGCATATGGGTGAGGCCTGGAGATTTCCAGGGATTATAACTGATTTCCAAACTGCAGAGATCAGATGCCTTGGATTAAATGGCTGCGTTGGAAGTTGGACTGTATGGCACCTCCCCAAGCTCCACCCCCACATCTCCAGGAATTTCCCAATCTGAAGTTGCCAACGCTACACTGCCTGATGGCTGTCATGCACAAGGATCTCACTGAATGTATGCCTGAGAGCTCTGTATCATATGCATGTATTACAAATATGCCTGTATAAATAAAGGAGACATCCGTTGCTTTCATATCCAGATTTGTTTACTTGTGGCTCCTGCTCCTGAGGCCGCCGGTCGTGCTGCTCTTAATTTAAAGGCACAGCAGCAGGCTCGTCGAGTGGCGAGCGGCGTTGGCAACCCTGCCCTGGCTGCAGCCGGTTCCCTTTCTAGAGGGCGGAGGAGGCGCTCTTTTTTCCTCTCCTGCTCCTGAGGTGGCCGGTCGTGCTGCTCTTAATTTAAAGGCACAGCAGCAGGCTCGTCGAGCGGCGTTGGCAACCCTGCTCTGGCTCTCCGGAGAAGGCGCATCTTCCAGGGGTGGTGGCTGGGCTCGCAAGTCAGTCCCGCCGCCGGCTGCCTGCAGCTCCGCCTGCTTCTGCCGCTCCTCTCAGGTCCTGCAACTTACCCTCCCTACACCAGTTTGGTGTAGTGGTTAAGTGCGCGGACTCTAATCTGGGAGAACCGGGTTCGATTCCCCACTCCTCCACTTGCACCTGCTGATGTGACCTTGGGTCAGTCACAAGCTCTGGCACAGCTGTCCTTGAAAAAGAGCAGTTTGTGTCAGAGTTCTCTCAGCCCCACCCACCTCACAGGGTGTCTGTTGTGGGGAGGGGAAGGGAAAGGAGTTTGTAAGCCGCTCTGAGACTCCAAGTGAAGGGCGGGGTATAAAGCCAATCTCTTCTTCTTCTTCTTCTGCGCGCCGCCCCCTCCCTCGCCTGCCTCCGCTCCACCTCCGCCGGGAGGACTCGCCGGGTCCTAGCGCTCTTTGATCT